CGTACGGTAACGTAAGTAAACTAATACTACTAGCGAGAGAGAGAGGAGGAGAGAGAGAGAGAGAGAGAGAGAGTGTGTGTGTGTGTGTGTGTCTAAAAAAGCATATGCTAACTGTGGTATTCTCAATAAACACTGTGTATTTACCTTCCTCTATAAAGATCCCGTGTGCTTTGTATGAGCATAACACAGCTTCCTCTCCCCAAATGCTGATGAGGTCCAGCAGCTCGGCATTGCTCCAAGCGGGGGATCACCTGGTGCATGGAGCAGGCATGGCCACCTGGAAAGATGCTCTGAGAGCAAACAGGAAGGGGACTTTCAAATTTGCAAAGGAATGTATGGGGTGGGGATGACGGTTGGTCACCAGAGGGCAGGGCAGTAGAGTTCAAACCGATGACCAGAGAGGTGAGAACAGGCATTGTGGGACACCTCCCAGAAGCCAACTGCAGAACTGTAATTGCCACGGTGTCTACACTGGCTCCGCAGCGCTGTAGCCCCAGCACAGAAAGCTCTACGCCTCTCATCGGGGTGGTTTTTTTAGAGACCTATAACTGCGCAGTTTCTGTGCACTAAGTGGCTTGGCAGTGTGTACACCTCGGGAATTACAGCGCAGAAAGCTGCTTTACTGCGCAGAAACTTGCCAGTGTAGACGGGGCCTATTAATGTAAACTCCTTGGAACAAGGGCTGTAGGCCTTAATCCAATGTCATACCAGTATAAATTCTCAGACAAAAAGTACGTTAAGGTGTAGTTAAGGCTGGGAGTATGTATCAGTAATTTAAGAGTGAAAAAAAATAACACAGGACTATTGTAATAATCCAAGGAACAAGCATTATAAACTCTGTAAATTCAGAGTAAAGTTTATAAGAAAAAATCCAAACATGTTAAAGTAAAAAAATGCAGTTAGGCATCCAACCAACCTTAACTTTACCCTGTAGTGACATCATGCAATAATCATATGGTTATGAAGGTGTTTGAGGTCCCAGATTAGATTCAACTGATTTCTGTTGACACATTAGTTTGTTTTCTTTTACATATTTTTCCCCTTGTAGTATATCACTACAAGGCAGCCTTAATGTTATATTCTGAGAATTTCCTTAGTTTTTACAAATATTAAAATTTTCATATATAAACACTAAACTTTTCATTGACAAGGGATACTGGTTACTCTGACACAATTTGCAATTGAATTATTTGTTTAGAGGGCTGTGTTAGTGAAACCTGTGTTATGTGAAGGAGGAGCAGGGAGAGCGTATTCCCTAAAGCCCATTTTGTGTGTGTGCACATGCTTTAAGGTATCTCCCATGGACCTGCCTCAGTGTGTCTGCTAGTGGTGCCTCAGTGTGTGGTGGGGGCAACAGCAGTGCCATAGTGAGCTTTTCAAGTACTGAGGTCCAAACTAGCATGCAGCCACAGAATCTTTAAAGGGCAGTGACAGGTGGACCAAGTAATCTATCAATGAGACAGGTTTCAGAGTGGTAGCCGTGTTAGTCTGTATCAGCAAAAAGAATGAGTACTTGTGGCACCTTAGAGACTAACAAATAGGTGCCACTAACAAATTTGTTAGTCTCTAAGGTGCCACAAGTACTCCTTGTTCTTTTTGCTATCAATGAGAGAATCTGTCAGGTATTTAACCTTCCTCATACCACTCACTCATTACAACCAATAGAATTGTGGCACGCAAATTAGCTATAGAGGATAGGTGGTGATTGATTGAATTACCTCTAATGTCACACTGGCCCCACTTAAGTGTTACCTGAACAACTGACCTGACCTGTCTGTACCCTATATAATATAGTAATTAGATACAGCAATCAATAATGTAGTTTATTGGCAACCTAATTTCTTCAAAAATAGCATATGTAAAAGATTTCAATTAATTTTAACAATATGGAACATTTAAAGTGTCATTTAATTGTAAAGATCATTTGGGACAAAGAGCAGATGTACACAGATGTTAAATTTTTAAATAACCATTTAAACTTATGGGTTAATTAATAAAATTACTTAAATTCCTTCTGGACTCTAAGAGTAAGCAGTGTACATTTAGGGAGGATATCGTATATTTTTCAGACAACACAAATAAGTTGAATCCTGCTTTAAATGCAAAATGGAACTCAACCTTGACTATGGAGTTGCAAAAAGCATTTCCATAATCACATCAGTAATAACTCTACTGAAGTCAGTTGAGTTATATGGGCATAAAACTGGTCAGAGGAAAAGAATCAGAACCAGTATGTATTTACAACAAGTCAGGCTCAGGAAACCAGGTTTCTATTCCTGCTAGTGACACACTCTGTGACCTTAGGCTAGTCATGTAATCTCTGTGCCGCAGTTCTTGTGAGTGACAACTTTATAGGGGTGTTGTGAAGAAATACATGAACAGGAGGTGTTCAGTGTCACAGTTTAGTGGCACCTGTATTTCCCCCTCTGTGGTCCCTCAACGGCACTCACTCTAGGCTTCTGGCTCCTCAGTTGTAACCTGTCTTGGATAGAGACCTGCATCTCTCTCCCTCCTGACAGACTGCCAGTTCCCTGCCTATGTTGTGATAGCGTCAGTGAATGGTGGAGGAACAGGCAAATTGTCTTATGTTAATTCTATAGCTAAGTACCGGTGAGGGACCTCCTTCAAAGTCATCCTAATTGCCTTGTGTTCCTGGAGGAACTTCCAACTTGTCAAAGAGGACATGAAATTGTGTAAAAGATCCTTGGGAACTGATTCTGTCATCTCAGATCTGCTTAGGTTTCCTCAGGGGAAGTTTGAGTTGCAAGACTGAGGTCCCAGTTATGCTGGTATGCCCTGAATATGATATTTGGACATTTGACTATAACCTATTAACTATTTCTAAAAGAACTCTTTGCAACTACAAAGCTCACCATCTCTTCTATGAATCTGCACCTAAATGAATTCAACTCATTTCTATATGTATATTGATCTTTTAACCATTCTCTCTTTTGTTTTTTTAATAAAGTTTAGTTTAGTTAAGAATTGGCTGTAGCGTATATTTGGGTAAAATCTGAAACATTCATTAACCTGGGAGGTAATGTGTCCGATCCTTTGGGATCGGTAGAACCTTTTGTGTTATATAATGAAATAAGATTTACAGAAATTTTCATCATATTTGACATGGGTACCTGGATGGAGGCCTGAGGCTGGATCACTTTAAGGGAACTGTGTTGTTTGGACTTCTGAGTAACCAGTAAGGTAATAAAGAAGCTGTTTTATGCTGGCTTGGTAAATCTAAGTATCGGAATATTCACCATCTGTTTGCGGATTGTCTGCCCCATTCTTTGCAGTTCACCCTAATTGAGTGACCATAGCTGGCTTCCTACTAGGACCCCGGTCACACCTTCATTCAGCTTAGTTCTCTGACATTGAGGCTATATCTACAGTACTGCGGTAAGTCGACCTACGCTACGCAATTCCAGCTACGTGAATAACGTAGCTGGAGTTGATGTAACTTAGGTCGAGTTACTGCGGGGTCTACACCGTGAGAGGTCGATGGGAGAAAATCTCCCATCGACTTACTTTACTTTTCTCGTCGGAGGTAGAGTACAGGGGTCAACTGGAGAGAGATCTGCTGTTGATTTAGTTTCAGAGTAGCAGCCGTGTTAGTCTGTATCCGCAAAAAGAAGAACAGGAGTACTTGTGGCACCTTAGAGACTAACAAATTTATTAGAGCATAAGCTTTCGTGGACTACAGCCCACTTCTTTGGATGCATCCGAAGAAGTGGGCTGTAGTCCACGAAA